TATGCAAGGTAAGGACCCAGTGTATTGTGAGAAAAGTCTTAGTTTTCCTCCTTAAGACTCCACCCATTAACTTCTTTGTGGAATAGGTCATCATCAGGCCCACAGTACAGAAAGGAGCAGTTGTACTTATTAACTCTTCTTTTCAAGGGAATTTTTTCTGTTTAATAAACTGATACCCGACAGAAAACCCTGCTAGGAAAACTGTTCTTGAGTTTAACAAGAATCAACATAACTAGGCACTGCTATAGATGGAAAAATACCCTTTCACTGCTGGAGAGCTTCACTCTAATGGCAAGTCAATAAAAATAACCCAGGAAGGTAACTACTAACTAGTTAGTAACTATGTACTATGTAACTATGTACATAGTAACTGTGGCTCTTGTTACAAAACCACATGAAAAATTGCCATGATTAACAGTTGTTACTCAATGCAGGCCAGGGACTGTAGCACCAGGGTACACAGGCTGCAGGTCATAACACAGGTGTTGGCAGAATACCTAGGAAGAGAGGTGAATGACTCTCTACAGCCGTAACACCCTACTAGTAAAACTATTCACCAGGCATCTTCATTTTCTAAGCCATAAAATCCTCTCACGTTAATTAGAAAAAAGTGCCTGATACTCCCTTAGGAATCTCCAGCAATACACTACTGAAAACAGCATTGAATCTCCAACTCAGAGGAAAATTATTGCTACATTTCACTTATTAAGCAGGATAAAACCTAAGGCTTTGGATTCACCAGTTCCTCTCCTCTTCCTTTATCCTGTGTGAGACAGGGGTAACTTCAGTTAAGTCAGTGTGATAAAAACAGGGGTAAAAGACTGGAATAAGCTGGGAAGAGCTATTTTAATTTGAATGGGAAGGATCTCCTTTCCTCTATGGATTCCTGGTTGCCTTTATTATACTAAATGACACTTGCTGGAGCTGAGGTACAGTGAAGTAGTAAAAGGCAAAAGTGTAATCCCTTTCCCACAAACTACCCAAGGCAGCAGTGTGAGCACCTTCCCCAGATGAGCATCTATAGTGACAACCACCTCCATCTCCCGAAGTCCCAGGCCCGCCCCATGCAGCTGTCTATGGTGAACTCCTCTCTCCCAGGACCATGTGCCTGCGGGTGCACAGGGGCCTAGGTGAGGAAGGAAGTGTAGTGGGTTGTCACCATGCTTCTTCAGGCTCCTTCTCCAGATGAGCAGCTATAATGACAACCGCCTTCACCCCCCTGAGTCAGACCTGATGCAATGGAGCGCCTGCTTTGGGGGCCTCATCCCCTTGCGGAGGACTGTTGTGGCAGCCTGACTCATGCTGCTCGTGCCTCTGCCCGCACCCACTTCCCTGTGGTGGAGGACAGGCAGGGTGTGAAAGGCAGGGTTAGCTGCAATGCCCCACCTGGGGTCCCTGGGGGTCCGGGGCCTGTCCTGTGCGGGTGTCTGGTAACACAGCTGCCCGTGCTCCTTTCCCAGGGCCCGCGTGTGCCTGAGCACGGAAGGAAGCAGGATGGGTGGCCCCCAAGCTTTTCCGGGCACCTTCTCCCGAGGGGCAGCTACAGTGCCGCAGGCAGGGCTGGGGCAGGCGGTCTCTGCGCCTTGGGGGCACTTTTCTGGGTGCCCGTGCCCCGCTCGCACAAACTTTCCGCGCAGGGGAGGCGCCCCTGCCTCAGGCTCGCAGCCCCGCGGAGGCAGCTGGGCACAGCCCCGGCTCCTGTCCCGGGCCAGGAGTTTCCCAGCGGCAGCTCCCTCGCCCCGCTTCCTGGATCGCCCCGGCCCTGGCCCGCCCCGCCTCGCCTCGCCTCGCCTCGCTCGTCCCTCCGCGGACCCCGGGGCCGCTCCCCGTGCAGCCGGGCGGCGCCACATGGCGCTGGGGCC